CGGTTCTTCAGCTTTCTACCGGTTTTCCCAACGTAACTATCTTCGCATGAACAGTTCATGCTATATATTAATCCAGTATGCTAGTGTTTAGATATGATGCCTTTCTTGGACCGGAGACTTCCTCTTTTTCACGATAAATTGCCAATAAACGAATACTTCATGATGCTTCTCTCGTTGCAGACATCAATATACTTTTAGAATCTTTCCTGATACCAAATCATTGAAAATGTACCAGGAACAGGCATGACCCCAGAACCATAACAAATTTCGTTGTACAAAAAAATGAAAAAGCAATTACACCAGGTTTAACCTTGGCCACTTTGACTCACAAGTAATACTTGCGGTTTATGCTCCGAATTTAACAGTTGATACGCACTTCCCCAATCTGAACTAAACTATATAAAAAGTTAAAAGTAGAAAATAATTTTTAACAAACAAATTATTGTTGGCTAAGCCAAAATCAGTGCCTCTATCGCCTTGATAAGCTCTTCTGAAGAATACCGACAATTTTGTTGCAATCACTTATTCAATTGTTTAGTTATTGCACTTCATTCTTTTACTCATTCGTCCCTTCGATTGTTCATTCATGCATGCATTCGTTCGTTCATTTATTATTGTTATCGATCGATTATGATCCGTCTTAACTTATAGAACACCTATATTTTACGTTATTGCTTGAAACGACTGAATACTTTGATTTTGTAGAACGATTTTGCCAAAATTCGCCTTTTACATCACCACTGGGCCTTGGGGACGTCTGTGGTGTCGATATGGTTATGATCCGAAGACCAACCGGGACGCGGCTAAGTACGAAGTTGTAAACATGCAAATGGGCAATTTGCGTACGTATTTATGAAAAAACTTTCATTACCGTAATTAGAATAAATTGTATTCGACAAATTTTAGTAGCATAATAACTCGAACTTGTAATTATCCCATAGAAGGACAGACCACTCGTTAATTCGTGTGGTTGAAGTAGTTGGTGGTATTCTATAAAGGTAATGTCAGTTCTGCTGTTCTGGATGCAGTTTCTATCCTGATGTAAATGATTGCCACGGCCTCTCACCTAAACGATATTGGCCATCATCAGTGTAAACAATGTTCTGTGTATTACCAAGGTCGTTTCATGAAACGTCGGCGCCTTTAATAGAGACATTAACATCAGCATATTATTTGCGTCTAGAATCACAAAATCGACATCAACAATAGCAGGAAAGCACTGGTTATATTTTACGAATTAAAATGTATGGCAATCGTGTCTTTCACTTCCCCTTCCAGCAGATTTCTAAGGATAATACATGCTGACAATGGTGTTCTGTGACTGTCATGTACTCAACTGAGTGGTACAACCCCCATGATAGATTGAAAATAAAATCTATTACAGATGAAAATTATCGTTAAACTATTAGGTGAATCTGCGCCGAAGATTCTTTCATTGAGAGTTTGCGCTGTGTGCTTACAACATATGCTGATGTGTTTCAATCCCAAACCTATGATTTAATCCTCTTATGACTGATTTTCTTGTTTTCAGCAGTAACTTGAAGTTTTGCCGGTGTCAAAGCATGATGTATGTCAGGTGTAGCAAATTCAAGATTATTACAAGCACGGCTTACGAGTTTGGAATGCTCAAAATGACTATACGTGGTACCTGTAGGGT